GGGGGGTATTTTTGAAATTTCTTTAAAAGGGGGTGTGCCTGTCCATCTTCCTTGTTTCTTTTGTCTACCTTGAGAGCTATAGGTTTTATGGGGAAAGAACTCTCCTGCACTGCTGCATGGGCTCCCGTCGCCGACTTTTCATTTCCCCAACTTTATCCTCTAGTCCGATCAGGTTTCTGAGCAGAAAAGTTGCCACGTGGATAGGTGCTGTTAGGACGAGTCAACTCGGAGTAAGAGGGAGGTGACTCGTTCATCTTCTCAACCTCCACTGAGAGGTAGAACCACACTTTCCTATCCAGTACTGGGATTGCTCTGGGAATGGCGTGAATACCACGATTCTTTACCTTGATTATGGCGAAGTCTAACTCAGAGAGGTTTACGGATCTGGGGTCTATTTCTTCAAGGCCTCCACAAAGATCTCCTATCAGTGAAAGAGTTTCCTTCGTCCAGAGGTGGAAGGGTAAACCCCGCAGCCTTAGCCAGCCTCTGAAGCTCAACTGTTCTGGGACTGCATTGATCTTTGGCCACCAGCACTCGATTTGAACCCAGTCGCCAAAGACAAAGAAAGATTTAATCTTGGTCCAGGCTAAAATCAGTTCTACCGAAGGAGAAAAGCCCACTGCTATATTTTGTTCGAAGGGGCACAATTTCAGTAGGGATTCTGAGTGAAGATTCGCAGACAGTCCTAACTCAACTTCTTCCCAATTCAACGAAGGTGGTTTCGAGAAGACAAAGGCCATCTTCCAGTTACCGAATGGCTTGTCTTGGTGGGCAATAGACAGGAACGCAGAGCCTCCAATCTTAATAATCCTACTTTTGGCTTCCAACGAGGGGAAGTGATCTTGCTTGAAGTTTTCAGGACAGGGATTCACTCTGGGATTACGGGTACAATCCAAAAACTTGATGAAAGAGTTCCAGCCTCCAGTAGCTGGTTCTTCTGGGACGCAAATAGATCTAGCCTTGTCTGATTTTTCCCATCTATTGAGGCGAATGAATCTCCCCCAGGTGTTTTCTTTGAGCTGCAAGCATAGTATTCTTCCCTTATTAATTTTTTTACGGTCTGCTAAATATTTTCGTTTGTTTTCCAACGCTTCCTGAATATAAGTTCTGATCCAGAGGATGTCCTCTTGAGCAAGGACTATTCGTGTCCAAACTCCCTTGCCCCTTTTGGTTAGTGCATAGTCGTCTCCATGGTCGAAACTTCGTCTGAATTCAAAGGACTTTGAACCAAATGTCATAAATCTCCTTTCCATCTTCCAGCTTTCCTTTTCAACTCAAACTGATTCATGTCTATTCCTGGTGTTGCTTTGTTCCGGTGACTGCTGACTGCCGGTGTGAGCTTCTCGACAACGTATTCATTTTTTTCAGTTCGTCAAGTTATTTCTTTTCTGCAATCAATTTGTTAGCCAACTAATCTACAAGCAAAGACCTTCCTCCATCAAGGGTCCTGTTTTGTTCTCTGCTAACCATTGTGCATAGCAGTAGAAGCTACATGATGTCGATAAATATTTGATTCTTGAGAAGTATGTATAAGATGGTCAGACATATATAGCTCCAGTTCGCTCTTCAGAAGGTCCAAATCATTTACCTGCTCTTAACTATTCTTTTTTGTATGCAACTGTAGTTAAAATTTATAATAGATAACAAACTATTTGATGGAAAAAAAAAACAGGCTTTATTACTCCATTCAATGTTTTTGAAATATTCCTATTTGTTTTCATAATGCTGTTAAGCATTATTTCTAGTGGTCTTACAATATGAATAGAAAAAATGGTGAACCAGACGTTTACATATATTCTTGGGAACTAAATCTAATAACTGGACCAATGAAACCATGACCATAAGCTCATGACTCAGGGTAATATCATTTAAATATTAAAGCACAAAATGACCAAAAGGCTTACTCAAAATCATGTCACAGAATCAATCACAACCATTAAATGGGGGCAAAAGAACAAAGTGGCAAGAGGGAGAAGAGAGACGGGTGCAAAATTGTAAGTCCATACCGAATCTGCAGCAGCCTGTAATGTGAGATGATCACCCCATTCACCAGTCCTAATTTCATCAACATAAGTATGCAAAAACGTGTTTGAATCTTAGATTGAAGATCAATAGTTTTTTTCTTTTTATTTAAGTGAACCAAATGAGAAGTAGAATCCTTACTGGGACATCTTCTTCAAATAGTCACCATAGGCCATAGGAACATATCCTTCATACATCTCCCAGTGAGACTTGAGCTAGTGATATTAGTAATTGCAATACAAACAACAAAACCCAAGTTCATGAGAAATCATAGCTAATAACATGTACACCAATGACATTATTCAAACTCACTGAGAAGGAACACCAATACACTAAATGACGACAAACCTGATGAACAACTTCTTGTCTAACAAACTGGTGGTGCTCAGGAGTGCGATAGAATTGATCTGATAAGGCACGAAACTGGGAAAACATAGAAGTTAATAATATGGAGAGACATAATGGAATTCTAAGAAACTTTCCATCTCTGCATTAAAAAACCTAAGTTGCAAAAATGGATTAAACCAAGACATGAAAATCTTGAGGTAAGTTACAGAAGTTTGAGATTTCAAGTGATTGAACAAATACAGTGCAGTATAACCAACAAGGTGGGAAACAATGGTATTAAAATACAAGCATCACAGAAATAAATAACAAAATAAGAGCATTAATGAGTTTAAACGGAATATAAAATATCACCAGACAAGCTACAGTTAAAATGGCTAATAATCAAATTTTAATTGAATCAATCCCCAAGGAACCAATAGTATCCAGCCCTGTATTTAATTATTTATATAGTAGAGTTTTGCATTGTATTTACATTTGTGTACCTTAGTACTTTATTTATTAAAACGTCATACCTAAATAAACCATATAACCACCTACTTCATATCAAAGCCATTACTTGGTGTAATGGTAAAACCTCAGGCTGGCAAGCATGAGAACACAAGTTCAAATCTAAGAGAAGCCACTTTGTGCCAAAAACAAAATGCCAAAGGTTAGGACCATAGCCAGTCTAACCTACCAAGAACCAGAGGGATGAGACCAATATTGAGTAATGGCCTTTTTAGGTGCCTACTTCATGTATAAACTAAATGTGCCCCAAGAAAGTAAAGGCTAATCTTCTTGCAGATTGATAGCATACACATGTAGCAGTGGAAACACAATTTTTTTTAGTTTATTTTATTAATCCAAATCTGATTTGAATCCTATGGATAGGATTTGGTTCAATTCCAAATATCATTAGGACCAAATTCAGATCTTGCTATGTCTAAACTGAATGACAGCCTTAATTTTTTTGATAAATGAATAAGATTTTATTAATGAAAAGAGCAAGAGGTTAAATCATTACAGGCAGCCCATGGAGAGGCACGAACTGTTACCTCTCCTAAAAACAAAAAGAAAAGATTACAGAGCTGCCCAAAAAAAAAGGACCAAAAAAATAGAGTGGCTTTCCCATGTTGAGTGCCTCTATGCTTTCTAGGGCTTTGAAGCAAGGGAAAATGTGGTTTCTCAGGCTAGAACAGCCACATGATATTAGAATTCAAAACAGAAAGCTTATTTCATTTGATTCACAAAATAGCCCCACTTCAAGTCTTCTGGTTCCAGAGAATCAACACTTCCCAAAAATAAGACTCAATGAACAATTTCCAAAGCTAGAGCTGACATAACACAATAACAAATACAAATTAGATAGCACTACAATTCACCTAATGAATCTTATGGCACTGCTTTAGATCCCCATCAAATAGTAGCACTCGAACAAAGGTATGGTTTTTCTTCTTTTATTGGTAACTTCCAAATTTCATTAACAATAAAACAGTGAAAAGTAAACATACACAATGAAAATTACCCCCCTGAATTTCACTTGCAACAAAGACCCCCTGAAAGTTCAGGGGGGTATTTGTCACTAACCCCATAGTACAAGGGCGGTCTTTGTAACTTACCCTTCTTTTATATATTCTGCTTGCTAATGCTACTGACAACCCACTTCAGCAATATGGATAGAGATAGAACAAAATTAAAAACTATCCCAAGTTCAGCTGAAAACCTAGTTAGAGATACAAGTGTATGAAGGTTCATTTAGTTTCACTTCAGATCAGAAAGGCCTCTCACTGCATAAACTTGAGAAAATGAAATCAGATTGATAGTTGACAGTCTACGTTACAAAATATTTGATAACATGGTTCAAAATGACAATAGACTTGATACTAAAAAATCAAGTATCAAGCCATATAAAGCATCAATATTTTCTGTTTTATAAACATTTCTTGAACGCCCATCATTCCACCATAACTTAACACCTAATATCATTATTTAAGCTTGTCAGATGTCCCTAATTCCTTTTATTGTCTCAGCAACCTCAAAAACTGACATCATATGATACAGTACGATACATATTGATACTTTGAACCATAGTTGATAATAAGAACACACCAGTAAGATTCGGTAACATTGAGTTCAATTCACCTAACTGCAATTGGTTGGGAACAGTTCACTCACAGAATACTCACAAACTCTCTAAAGATCTGAATTTTAAGGTTTTATTGCTAAAAGTGAAACTTCTAGTGTCACACAAAAATAAACATTGCTAATACATGATTTCCATGGGAAAAAAGCCAAACTAACTAACCTGGCAGTTGCCATCTCCTTGAACCTTGAGCTCAACCAAATCATATAACTGCAATCTAAACAAGATGAAACAGTCTGAACATAAATATAGTACATATGGAATCATGCTAAACAGGATATAGACATGTAAAGCCTGAATAGAACACTTAATCCCAGAAAGAAGAGCTAACCTCTCATAAGTCAATCACTTGGTAAAACTAAAGCATATTTTCAACACAGTTGAGGAGAAAAGCTATTGGTAATACCTGTCCAGCAGCCTTTGATGATCTGAAGTTGCTTCATCAACAGAAGGTATTTCTCCATTAATTCTAGGAACATGCTGTAAAAACAGTGAAAAAAAATTAAGGTTGTTAAATTGCAATTCATTGAAGGCCTAGAACCAGTGGATAGCATGAAACAGAAAATGCCATCCTAGCATAAAACTACACTTCAAATGGCATTCTACCACCTTGAAGCAATGATGCAGGTTTAATGTCCAAATAATTTTCTGATTAATCATTTGTTCAAATTCAAGATAAAGTCAGATAGTAAGGTAGTAATATAATATTATTATAGCCAATCAGGAGTACTCAAGAAACAGAATCTGAACATACAGATGGCCCTTTTTCATTTTTATATGTTAAAATATTATGACTTTACCCTTGTTCCACAACCAGTGATGCAGGTTAATATCAATACAGTACACAGTTGACTTGTCTAATTATTGATGTTTTTCTTCAATTGATGAATTTGTCATCAGCAACAATATATTCAGTGATCAAAACATAAAATGGATGCACCAAAATGTGGTAGCACAAAAAACAAAAATGACAATCACTCCACAGAATGTCTACAAGTCATAACAAAAATAACAGGATACTACAGAGGTACTTCCAGAATACATTTTTTTCGATAAATTACTTCTAGAATACATTTCTATCATTTAGACAACCCATTCCCCCCTTTTCTCTTATCTCATAAAAATTCATTTATTTCTTTTATCAGAAACAGTATGTCACTCATGAAAATCTTCATAAACACTAGAACTTTCATTTTGCACAGGATACAAGTAGAGAAATAAGCAATTTAAAGACTAGAAGTGAAAGTAATATAATCTAGAAGAATTGTATCCCAATCTCCCCATATTAGATCTGTGCACGGGTCCATATCTTAGGTAACTTACCCTAAGAAATTAAAGATAGTGATTCAGTTACTTCCTTAAATATTTGTCCGATCAAATTAACCAGATGCTAAAACAAGAGACATTAAAAAGAGAACAATACATGTAAACCATGTAGAAAAAAGGGTAACAAATAAACATTCAAATATTGATGGAAGGAACTTCATATTGATTTTGTAAAAGGTATAAAATGGAACTAAAAAGAATCTACACTTACAGGAATAGGAACCATCTGGTTTAACCTCTTCCCCAGTTCTCCATCAAGTGCATACTCATCTGTTAACTCTAGTGAATATGGGCACTCCTCATTATATGCTCTTTCATCAGGGCTAGAACATGAACTAGAGGCCCCAACACCATCTGTATCTTCATGGCCACTTTCATGCCCTACACATTGGAGATTATATGATCATTATAGATAAAGGTGACTCAAAACTAGTAAATAAATTAAGAAAGTTCCCAAATTTCAAATACAACTATACCAGAATTGTAATTTCTCACGGATGGTCCAAGCCAATCTTGTGCAAGAATTGATGCTTGCAAATGTTCTTCTTCCGCATTTGTAGATCCAGATGCTTCTGCAATGGCAAGTTGTGACAATTCTTCTTGAAGAGCATGTGCAATAACCTCATCATTCTCTACATTGCTACACTCTATTTCTATGTCATAATGACTTTCTCTGCCATACTGCCCATCATAGTAGTCCGAATCATGTTGAGTGACAGTTCCAAAATACACAGAGTTGGGAAATAAATAATCACCAACAAGATGGTGGAGACCCCATCGAACAACATCAGGATCTGGCTCGTGTGAAATCATTGGCTTTTTACAAAACTTTCAATGCAATAGTTGTTTTCTCCAACAGACAATTTGATAAAATCCTAAATTGCAACTTCAATGGCTTCACTTTGAAAATGTGGTCAAGGAACACAAGCATCCACTAGAAGATCCAAGAATGATCAAGCAACTTCTTCTATGGTACCTGAAAATTTAAACACCAATATTTGACCTGGAAAGACGAACAAATATGTCAATCATTTCTTACAAAATTTAGAGAAACTGTTGCAGAAAATATGAACATGGTTCAAATGAGAAGCTGCTAATGTGATATTCATATAGTAAAATGACAACTCTCAAAGAACCATTCAACCTAAAAACTTAATCTGTTAGGTGAGGTCCCTGAATAGGTTTTTCTTCTCGAACACTTCCCCTCACGCAAAAGCCCATCGAGCTTGAAGTGTGGAAAAGCATAGGCCCACCCATACCTTGTGCTGAAATTTAATTAATTATCATGGGGTAATAAGGATTGAACATTAGACCACTTTGTCAGACAGGCTCTGATACCATCTCAAAGAACCATTCAACCTAAAAGTTTAAGCTGTTAGGTGAGGTCCCTGAATAGGTTTTTCTTCCCCAATAATAACAACAAAGGATTGTCCGAGAAAAAACAGCATATTTGCTCTATAATGCATTGATAGGACTGTAAATAAGAAAAATAGAAGAAATTTTAATCTAGGAATTAACACCTAGGCTCCTCTAGCAGTCAACACTTAGAGAAACTATTAGCAAACAACACCTAATAGCTTCCTGAAGGAATTAAGACCATTCAGAAAATTAAATAACTCCAATGTTGCATGGAAAATCCACGCTTACATATATTTATAGGCAAAGATTGGAAAACCAAGCTAATCCTTTCTCCCCTTGTTTCACACTTTAGGACCACTAAGAAATACTAGTAAAGCATTAAGGATCAGTGATTTAAAAAGGTGCACCTTAGGCATGCCTAGTGTACCTTGTGCCTCAGCTCAATCATCCAAGAAGGAAAGAACCCCYCCCCCCCCCCCCTTGTTATGTTGTTCATTCATTTTTCTTTATATAAGACTTTTTTTAGAAGACAAGGAAATATATTTAAATTTTTTTTAGCAAATGTAACTTTTATTGAAAAAAGAGATTGAAAAAAGGCAGCTCATAGAATTAGAAATGAAAGATCTTTAACATCACATTAACTATTTGAAACAATGCAATTCGGAAAGAAATAGAGAGATTGAAAGTTAGACATGCTTGAATTGTTGAGTGCTTCATTATGTTTTATATGTTATGTTTGATATTATTTTTGTATTTTCACTTTGAATATATTTTATGTTATGTTCATATATTTTACTTTGTTTTAATAGGCTTTTTAAAACATTTAGTTTAAAATTGAAGTTTGCATTATTTAATTAATATTATTTCTAATATTTTCTTCATTTATTTTGAATTTTTACACATTTTGCATTTTTCTTGCATTTTTTGTTTTTTAAAAAGTTTATGCCTTGCTTCAAAAAAGCATGTGCCTCACCTTGTTCCTCAGGTGCAAAAAGCTCTTCACACTTTTTTTGCACCCTACACTTTTAAAACACATCTAAGGATAGGACAAATCATAGTTGACTTAGAACTAATAATTTGACTTGAGAATAAGATAAGATCAATATTAATTACTTAAGACTATGGATTTGACCTACTAAATAACTTTTGACTTGCTAAGATAACTTTTTCACTCAATTAGGAAAAGCAAATAGTGTAATTAGGAAACCAACACCTGATACAATAAGGCAAACCACTAAGGACTGAAATAATGAAATATCAAACTACTAGAATACTTTAAGAATGGAATACCCTTCCCATCCAAAAGTACAAACGAAACTAAAAATTCAAAATATTCTAGATGTGGCTTATTAGCTCTTTCATCATTCTCTCCCGTTCAAAAACTTGAAGATGGAAATTACCTTGATTCTCTTAGAAGAATCTTTTTTAAGAATAAAGACAAAAGATTTCATTAGAAGATAAAGAAGCATTACAACCCAGGTGGGTGTCAGGGTCACATGCCACTAATACTCTAATCAACAAGATAACTTTCAGCATTACAGGCTTGAATTTCAACCACATACCAAAAACTTTCCCCAAATCTGCTCTTCTTTCAATATGAGCAAAACTGGAAGGACCCAAACCCAGTCTGTCACTAGTTTTCCAACTGAAGCAATGGGACACCTCAATACTGTTGGACTTATTCTCAAATATCCATCTGTTTCTTCCATTCCAGATAGTCCAACAAACTGCAAAAGGGATGCAGCTCCAAACTATCCTAGCCTTTTCACTCCCTCTGACCCCGAAGAGTGTAGAATAAAACTTCGGGATGAAATAGTCAACCTTGCATTAAAAAAAAAAGATGGCAGATTGTCTCCTCTTCCATCTTGCACATATAACAGAAGCTTGCCATGTTGAAGCCTCTATTCTTCAAGTGGTGTGCTGTTAAAATGCTGTCTAGGAAAACCAGCCATACAAAAGCTTCCACCCTCTTTTTTTGATAAATGAATATGATTTTATTAATGAAAAGATCAAGAGGTTAAATCCAGGCTACCCATAGAAAGGTACGAGCTGTTACCGCTGCCACCCTTGGTGTCTGGATTCCCCCATACACCCTCTGCCTGTACTGTGGTCATACAGTCTTTGATAAGGGTCAACTAGAAAGATTTCACTGAAAATTTTCCATTCCTGCTTTCCAGCAACAAAGTACATTCTTGCGATTCATGATCCCTAGGGGTGCTCACAGTTTGGTTAACCGAACCGTGGGCTTATTTTTGAAACCGAAGCCGATCGGTTAACCGGTTGATCGGTTCAGTTCGTCAGTTTTCTATTATTTGCAATATATATTATAAAAAATAAATATAAATATATAATAAAACACTAGAAATATATATAATATTATATTTTAAATCATAAATAATATATTATATATTATAAATATATAATGCATATTTATCAATTTATAATGTATAGAAAATATAAAATATATATAATATACATAAAAATACATAAAATATATATAAATAAATGTATACCGGTCAGTTTGGTTAACCGCCGGTTTTCTATTTTGTTTAACCGAAACCGAACCCGTACCATCAGTTTTTTAAAATACCAACCAAACCGATCGGTTCGGTTACCCAAATTTTGAGTTTGGTTTTGGTCGGTTTGGTTTTTCATTTTTTCTTGCTCACCCCTAATGATCCCTCAATGGTCTTCTAAACCTTGGACACCGTACCACCTGATCACCTCTGACTTCATAGCATTGATCAATCCTTAATTGACGTTCAGACAACCTATACTAATTGGGCTCACCTAATACAACTTCCCCACTCCACTGCACTAATCCTCCCAAAACCTTATTACTCTAGGACCATCTCCCACCTTGAATCTTACCAAACTCCTAAAATCCTGATTAAAACCTATTATACCATTCCATACTCACCCCATAAGAATTAGACACCTCCCTTGATTCCCATCCAAACCTTACCACCTCATACTTCCCTACCACCACCACCCTCTAAAGAATAATGTGGAGGATATGTTAGTAAGTGATAGCAACTCTCATTATTGGATTTACACAAGATACACCAGTTGGGAGAGAGACAAGAATTAGGTTTTCTCTTTTGTAACATATCTAGAGTACTAATCTTCCCATGCACTACTTCCCAACAAAAGGCTCTTACTTTGGGTGGAATGGGTCTTCAGTAGAACTCTTTACAGGGAAAGGAAGGAGAACCTGACTGAATACACAGTCTTGAACAAGGAGGCAAAAGAGAACAAACCCTTAGGATGATGGGGGGCCCAAATACACTTATCAGACTTATCAAAGTCTAAACTAGCATTTTGAAGGATTTGTAAAATATTCGACCGAGCTGATACTTCACTGTCACTTAGACCTCTACAGAAGCCAAAGTCCCAATTGAGACCCACAGGGAGTAAGGGAGGAACAATAAAATTTGACACAGTCGCACACTCATTTTTATACGGGGAAACCGAATATAAAGCAGGAAAAAGATCCTTTAGCAAACAAGAGCCAACCCATGTATCCTCCCAAAATTTGACAAAAACCGCAGAGCAAACACCATACCTGAAAAATACGAAGTCAGAAAGGCAAAGTGCGGTGGATGGCTTTCCACTAAGAGGCCACAGTAGCCCTATTACATATTCCTGCACCCCAATCGTTTCCTAACCTCCCATGTATGCTTGCTATTACTTCATGCCACAATCTATCCCTTTCCTCTAGCCACCTCCATATCCGTTTCCCTAACAGAGCTGAATTCTTTCTATCTATATTTCCAATACCCAACCCACCCTCCTGGAGGCTTCTACACACCATCTCCCATTTAACTAAATGATCTTCCTATCCATCACTTGTCTCCCAAAGGAAATCTCTGATCACCTTTTCAATTGTTAGACTCCTTTTGGGGGATCCTAAAGACTAATAAAATATAAATTGGTAGATTGGAAGAGTGGATTTAATCAAAGTAATTCTTCCTCCCAAGGGCACATAATTTATCTTCCAAGTTGCCAACTTCTTTGCACACCTCTCAACAACTAGATTCCAGAACCTGCTTTCTCTAGGGTTAACTCCTAATGGAAGGCCAAGGTAGGTCAGGGGCCAACTAGCCGTGGAACACTCTAAGGTGTAGGCCACAGAGTTTACTTCCCCATCCTCCATGTTGATCCCCACTAAACAACTCTTCTCAAGGTTCAATTTTATATTAGAGACCAGCTCAAACTTCCTCACCACCTCCTTCAAGTTCCTCACCACACCTTGCTCTCTTCCTTCACAGAAGATTATGATATCATCCACAAAATGCAAATGTGTCACTGAAACCATATTCCTTAGGATTTCCCACCCTTCTATTTCATTCTCCCTATCATCCTTTGAGATCATTCTACTAAACACATCAGCTACTAGGGTGAACAAAAAAGGTGAAAGAGCATCACCTTTTTGTTCCATTCTCTTGTGAGAATTGTTAAATCAAGCACTATTGATCGTCAATCAATATATATTTTAAGATGAATTACTAGACTTTCTTTCTCATAATTAACACATCTATTTGGAATTTCTAGAGCTAGAGCCAACCCAATTGTATCTTAATCATTGGATTGCATCAACATTCAACTATGTTTTGTGATCTTGACTCTACATTTTCAACCTTT